ATACACTTATATAAACATATTAATGGGTAGAATATTCAGATTCAGGTTCAGATTTGACAATAAACCATGCCAAATATTACACACTGGCCCTTTAACACACATTCCAGTTTCCCACAGAGACTTGAATTGTTACCTCCACCAAGGACTCGATATTTGCTAGTACTAGATTATGCTTCATGATCTATGATTTCCAACAATAATTTGACATATGGACTCATCAGACCATGGCACACTTTTCCACCTCATCTCAGATGAGCTCGGGCCCAGAGAAGTCAGAGGCGTTTCTTGATGTTATTGTTATGTGGCTTTCGCTTTGCAATGTGGAGTCTTTACTTGCATTTGTATAACTTGTGTTTTCCAGGGTTAGGGTTCACGAGCCCATGTAGTAATATCATTCATACAATCTTTTTCCTTTACCTGTAGCGACCCCTCAAGATTCTCTGATTCTTTTGATGATATTATAGATTGTTGATGGTAAAATCCATAAATTCCTTGCAATTATGCACTAAGAAACATTGTTCTTACACCGTTGGACTATTAGCCCACACAGCTTCTTGTGAAGTGGAGAACATTGTGCTGTCCTTGGTTATGAACACCTGAGCCTTTCAAAGACGCCCCTTTCATACCCAGTTCATGATACCATCACCTGTAACAGGTGAAATGTTCCAGGTGCTTTTTCAAATAATAGAAACTAGACAGAGCATGACACTAGTTTGCTCTTTACTTAGCTTTTTGGACAGTTTTGTTTAGACAAACATCACAATCTTTCAACACCAAACACTTAATAATGTACCCATTAACCATCATCACAGACTGACTCGGACCAACCTGGGAACATTAAAGTTAACCAACCAATATTACTGACCATTTTAGGGCTGAACTGTCCATGTGACAGCTCTCCAACAAAGGTGAGGCCATTAGGTGAAGACTTCTGCAACAGGTTCTTCTTCACACCTTCTATTGCCTGCAGGTAGTCCTCCAAGAGCCTAAAAACACACAGATACTGGATCACACTTCAGGAACAACATTGAGTACAGCTCGTACAGTGAAGAAAAGCAACTTTTTGGAGACTTGGCTGCTACCAATGCGTATGACAGTTTACTATGTCATAATATACACTAAAGATTTTGTTTTCAGAACAGATATGCAGCAGATAATTTCTTCAATTATTAACATAATGCCTGAAATTTTACAAATATATTCCTTAAAGAATGAGTACATTATTATCTACTCTATTGACTGCCCTTTGAATCCAATATATATGCCAACTAATGTAGGCCAGAGGCCAGAGGTGGCACAAAAACACACTTCCAACAGATAATTCAGACACTCAAAGCTGCTTAATCTAAGCCTGTGTCCTCAGGCGGTGCTGAGTTTCTGGAGGGTGGTGATGTTCCAGTTTATTAATCTTTTATCAGTCCTACTGACATCCAACGTTTCCAAATGCTCCCAGAAAAGCATAATCGCTTCTATTTCTGATGATGGCTGGCTGAAATATAGTGGTCACATATAAAGTAGACATTTAGCCAATTTAAATATATTGAGTAGAGATACGCCTTGAGCTATAGCATTTAGCTGATTAGTCAGCTGACATAGACCCATTTTAATCAACTATTTTATTAATTATCTCCAAGTAAATATGCCAATCATTTGCATGTTCCAGCTCTCAAATGTGAGGGTTATATATTTTTTGTTCTCTTATTCAATAATAAAGTATGTCTCTTTGGTTTTTAGACTGCTGTTATATTAAAAAATAAATAATATGGATATGAAATGTCATAATTTCATGATTTTATCAATTTAGACATTTGTGTGAAATTTTGTCATAATTAGCACATGATCTCTTGAGTTATGGCCAAAAACATATTTTGTGAGGTCACACTGACCTTGACCTTTGACCACAAAACTCTAATCAGTTAATTGTTGAGTGTGCATGTTTGTGCAAAATTTGAATGATTACCTTAAGGTGTTCTTGAGATATCATATTCACAAGAATGAGACAGACAAGATCACAGTGACCTTGACCTTCGATGTATGACCACCAAAAACTAATCAGGTCATTGTAATGCTGCATGTGTTGTCAAACTGATGTTGTGTACATGTAGTCAAATTTGTGATGTTTTCTAAATGCTGCAAATGTGCTGTCAAATCAGAGCTACAAGTGTTATCAAATTGATGTGTATGTGTTATGTATTGATGAAGATGTTTTCTTAATTGGCTTGTGTTGTGTCTATCTGCATGCCTTTTCTTAATATACGGTGATGAACTTTCAGGGCCACTGTACAGTGGAAATTTCATGGAGAAAAACCTTCCAAATCTACATATTTCCACAATACAAGGTCAAGAAGACGCCTACTGTCATCACTGATTGGACTAATGATACATAATGTAATCATACATGAAAGGAGACACCCAGATTGAGCAGTGACCCCCGTTTGGACCTGTTTTTTTTTGTGAGCAGACAGAGCCCAACAGGCCTGAAACTATCATCTGAATCAGAAACTAAAGAACATTTAGGTAAGAAACAACACAGAAGCAATTTACAGATAGTGGTGACATTTTTACGGGCTGACAGCAAGACCGCATACATGAGTGACACATTAAACCATAATAGTAAATTTCATTTAAAGTCAGTATCAGTATACATTCTCATGTACAGCATCAGGCTGGTGTAATGAGATGTGGGAAGCTAATATCTGAAAAAGAAGAGCTAAGGCACTCTCAGACAGATTTGAGTCAACGTTATAAGCTGCCCATCCCACAGAGACAGAGACGCACTGAGAAGATGGAGCTGTAGGACAGTCTGCTGAAACAGTGTGGGACAGCATCCTGATAGAGCTATTTACTTCACTGTAGGGTTTCACTAAGATCCCAGATGACATATGATTTAATCCTGGAGAATCAGTCTGTCAGAACCACCGCTACATGACAAGACGGAGAAAAGAAGTGGGACAGTGCTCCGATTTTAAGAAGCTTAAGCCACATAACTACTATCTGCTTATTAACCTGGCATCAGTCATTTTCCAAAGCATGCAGCCATATGTTAGCTTTTGAAATATTTTGCCAAATTGTTTGCATTTTAAAATTAAGTGTACAGTTGATACAATACAAACATCCACATTTTAACTCACGGTTATTATGATTTAACCTGTAAAACAATCTTTCAATCCGGGACTAATTTCTTCAGTGGATACATACATCAGAACTAATGAGGATGGCTTTTCACACATTCATTATTCATTCACTGTATTACAGCACTGCATAGTCTGGCATGTGTTACATGTGTTCATTGGGCTGGCTCTGCTCTGCTGCCGTCTGGCCAATAAACTAGAATAACCACGAGTACTTGAGCTCTCGATTTTGAAGAAAGTATTTGTTTAATGTATGGACTAACTGCCTTTTTTTGCTTAATAAAACAAAAAAACACACAAACACACACACATATATACACACACACACAATCTGATAGTGGGACCCCAGGGAGGAGGATGGGGGGAGGCTGAGGCCTCTAGAGCACCATCAATCACTCCACTGTCAGAGAGACGGAGCGGCAGGGAGGGAGGG